ATATATATATATATATATATATATATATATATATATATATATATATATATATATAATATATATATATATATATATAATTATATATATATATATATATATATATATATATATATATATATATATATATATATATATATATATATATTATATATATATATATTATATATATTATATATATTATATATATATATATTATATATATATATATATATATATATATATATTATATATATATATATATATATATATATTATATATATTATATATATATTTATGTTTATATTATTGACCTTACACACACAGACACACACATATGCACACACATAAATTTATTACAAGATAGTAATTTTGCAATAAAAAAGTTTTTTTTATAATGTCTTTTATTTTATAAAGCATTTTATTTTATGCTACAGTTAAATGCAATTTTATAGATAATAAACAAATCAATAAGTTAAATTACATTTGCTACATCACGTTATGTTAAGAGTAGTTAAATAAGACTAATGTAAAATTCACACAATAAGTAATGCTGAAAATAGTAAAAATTATATAAATGCGACTTTGAAAATGCAATAAACTTTAGCAGGCTTGGTCGGGAAGCGGGAGCGATCGCTTTCGATTCCTGACCACGTAAATAATATTTAGTTGCGAAAAGCTTGCCAGTTTTTTTAGTCGTTTTGAGAACATTTTTAAAAGCAAAAAAAAAAAAAAAAAAAGCGATAAAGATTAATTGGACCGATGAGAGACAATTACAAAAAAAAAAAAAAAAAAATTAAAGCTAAATAAATTACGTTTAGAACAAATATTTTCGAAACATCGCTCTTTTATAATTTTTGTATAAAATTAAGCGATATTTTTTATATAAAGTAACAACTTACGATTGTTTAAAAAGGAAACAAATATTCTTTATTAACAAAGTTTGCAAGTTTTAGTTTTATTTAAGCTAAATTATTTTATAAATAAAAAAGTTTATTTTTTTAATACCTATTTTATGTTTCGCGTAGTTTGAAAAATTTAACATATTTGAAGCAATTCTTCTAAGTAAGATAAACAAATAAAATAGTTAAATCATTGAATTACTATAGAAATTAAATTAACAAAATAGAAATTAACTAAAAAAGATAAAAATACTTAATGACGAGGAAGCAAAACTGCTTCACAATATCGCTGATGATGTTTAGTGAGTGGGCTTTTAATTTTAATTAGTATTTAAAGCAGAAAAAAGTACAACGAGTTTTAAGAAGGCAACTTATGCGAAAATAATAAGAGTCAGTAAACCAATATCTCGTAACTTTTCTTTGTATCTAGTTATTTGGTATAAATATTTGTGTTCTGTCGTACGCGGTGCTTGTTCATCCGAGAGTTACTTTATATGCATTGTTTGAGTTTAGTAACCAGAAACTTCTTATATGTTTGTTACATAATTAATTTATTAATTTGGACGATTATAACTTCATTGAAAACGCAAAGATTTTTGTAAGTCGTTGTTTAAATCATAATAACTGCTTTAAAAGATACATTACGATAAAAAACAGATACACACAATTACATAAAGAATACGTACTTTTTAAATAAAAAATAAGAATATACTAATAAAATCTATAATTTATAATAAACTTTTAAAATTTTGACAATTTAATTAATATATATTTAAAACATTTATTTTTGTAAACAAATAATATATATTCTTAAAACAATTTACGCTAGAAATCTCAAAATGTAACAAATCGTGAATGATACAATTTCTAAAACATTTCAACAGAATACTCTAAATCTTTATTTCGCTTAGTCAGCGTATTTTTTGAACCAATAAAATTAGTTTGTTCGTTAATTTGGCGGGTTTTTAGTGTTCGCAAATATTCTTTTTATTCTTGCGCTCAAAGATGTTTTGAGAACATCCAAGTTGTTTATGTTTCCATGTATGTCCGTAAAACAAAATTTTTTTGTTTCGTACATAAATTTAAAGGTTCTCAAAACGACTAAAAACCCTGGCCAGTTTTTCGCAACTAAATATAATTTTCGTGGTCAGTATTCGAGAGCGATCGCTCCCGCTTCACGACCAAGCCTGCTTTAGTGAGGGTTGATGTTGAACATTAGCCTTGGAGAATAAAACTAATATAGAAAATTTATATTAGATATATTGAAAGCTTTCGACACTTTTCACAACTATCTCCTACTTCTAAAATTAAAAGCTTATAGAATAGATGACTAACTCTACAATCGGATTTGAATGTTACCTAAGAGATCGGCATAAGAGTATCATTGTTGGTGGTACATACTCAGAATGGATTTAGTAAATAGTGGAGTCCCCCATTATATATAATAATGATTTTTCTGATTTGGTTCTAGATGTTGTATCTGTGTTTACAGATGATGCTAAGTTAAACAGTTTGCTTTTTGATAGCCATGCAATAACCCGGAATAAAGTATGGATATTATAGCAAACTGGGCAAAACTATGAAAACTAGGTTTTAATGTAAAAAAATGTAAAGTTTTGCCTTTTGGACCAACAAATACAAAATTCATTTATATACTCGTTGATGAAAATCTCAATACTTCAATTAATATTAAAAACTCTCTCATCAATAAAGGGATCTTCATTGACAGTAATTAGACTTTTATTTTGTAAGTAAAAAGAATAACACCGCCAATAAAATTGTAGGAATGATCACAAGATTACTTTTCAATCTCAACATCTTGAAATTTTGTACTTTGTTTATTTTCCTTGTTCGTCCTCACCTTGATTCTTGCAGCTCTGTCTACTATCCAAGCCTTTGAAAAGATCAACAATTAATTGAAAATGTTTTATGCTAATCTAGTTAATTTGTTTTTGGCAAGACTGGACTCACTTACAACCAAAGACTACTAAGACTAAATTTAACTAGCATGAGCTATCGTTTCTTATGTAATGACATGGCAGAAACTTACAAATGCATTCACAATCTTTATAATTGTAGTTGCAACTCTTTTGTTTCCTCATTAAATACCATTCAGTATTTTATCTATCAACACCTGTGTCAGAATGATGTCATCTGCACATCTATTATATTTATTATTGTAATTACAGACCATTAAGTAGTTAATCTAATTTTTAATAGCATGAGTGTTAATATGGCCGCTTCCTAATGTTAATATATGATTATAAATTTAGTTAGTATTTATTCCTCCATTATGACTAACTCCAACTTAACAAGATGCGATCATGCTTATAAATTGAAAAAAAAGTTTTGTAAGACAGATGTCCGGAAAAAACTTTTCTAATATGAAATTCACAAATTTGTAGAATAGTCTACCATCTGAAATAGTGTTCAACATCTGTCACGACTTTTAAAAAACATCTAGATGCATCTTGGGTTTATCAAATGTACAATTGCATATAACCAATTAGACCAATACAATTAGATACAATAGAACAAAAGGTTGATAGGCTTTTTTATATACCTAATTATTCTATTTGTGAAATTTTAACCTTAGAAAATAATAATAATAACAAGATTAATAATAATAACAGTATGTTATATCAAAACTCTTATAATTAAACACCGAATTATTAAAATGAATTAAACACCGAATAAGTTTTATGCTTATTTTTTTTATGTTGAATATTAAAAACACTTTTTTTCAGTGTTCCAAAACTGAGAAAAATATTCTATGCCTGGCTAACTTATTCAATTGAGCATGAGATCTTAATCTCATGGTAATTTGAATCTCGTAATCTTGGGGTAAATATTTACTTATAGCCTCAAAATGTTTATCTTCCTTAATGCCATATTTAAATAAGAAAATATTATCATAGAAACCTTTCCAAACCGCGCAAACTTTAAAATCCACTTTTTTTGACTAACCAATAATTAAACTCTACTTGAAATAAAAAGCGATTACATTAAACATTAAGAAATGAAACTCAATAATTTTTAGACTATAATTTTCAGTTAAAAAAAATAATAATCTGAAAAAAAAAGTTAGTCTGAAGTTTTTTTATATCATAAATTTGTTTGTGATTATTTTTTAGCTGATGTACCGTTAAACTGAAGGTGGTAATAAAGTTTACAAAATTTGCTCTGGCTGAAATTTTCAATGAAAAAACAATGTGTGCCATGAATGTAATCTGTTTTTCATGGCGGATCAATGAAAGTTTGGTGTATTGGCCAAATCACTTGCAAGCATCTTGCCTTAAGGCTGCCATACGTAAAGTCACGCTTTTAAAAGTAACTGAAAGCAGCTGAAAAAAAAATTTCTTGGTAATTGTCTTATTTACAATATTGTTTTTGTTTTATTTACAGTATTGTCTTTGTTTTTTATCTAAACAGCTATGTTTGACTCAAATATAATAAATGTTGATTGTTTAGTATGGTTTTCTCTCTTCTTTATACTTTTGACAGTTATGAGACTGCTTTAGAACGGAATTATCTGTGGCTCCAGCTTAAAAGGATGCATATTACAAAAAAAGTGACACTGATTAGATTTTCTCTCAGTTTCTTAAAGATTGAAGAAATTTTAAACATTACCATGTACTATTAAAGTTTCTTATTTTTAAAATATATGATACTTTTATATGAAACATACAAACAATATATATATATATATATATATATATATATATATATATATATATATATATATATATATATATATATATATATATATATATATATATATATATATATATATATATATATATATATATATTTTGTACCTGTATTTAAATAGCATTGATTTTATATTGTTATATTTTGGTTTTGGAAAACTCTATACCACTTTTTTTCATTTATATCTGTTTCATATGACCAAATAAATTTAATAATTTCAAATTTTTTTTTCTTAAAGCGTGTTCTATGATCATTGTCATCTCCTAGACTATAACCTGTTTAACTCAAAAAAAAAATTCAGCCAAGTACTATAGTATCACTTAAACAAGAAAACTGTTATAAATTTTAATTATTACAAACTTGTAAAAGGCACTATTTTTTGTTATTTTTTAATTATAATAATTTAATCAAAAATACTCAATATATTGCATTAATTTAGTTATATATATTGTATATATCAGGATAATATTGTAAACTATATTAGGCTAATATTGGCTGGTAAAATATCCCCATAAATAATAAAAAATATTGCTCTTTACAAATTTGTAATAATTAAAATTTATAATAGTTTTCTTGTTTAAGTGATACTGTTGTACTAGGCTGCATTATTGCGCAATATTATTTACAATATTGGCCAATATTATAAACTATATCGGGCCAATGTTGCAATGTGAACATTTTGCCAACATTGGTCAATATTGACTTTACAGTATTGGTGCAATATTGTATCGCCAATATTGGCCAATATTAACTTTACAATATTGGCGCAATATTGTAGCGCCAATATTGGCAAAATGTTGACATTGTAACATTGGCCCGATATAGTTTACAATATTGCGCCGATATTGTAAACAATAACACCCCAATATTGCGCCAATATTGTTTGCTACTAGGGGTATATATATATATATATATATATATATATATATATATATATATATATATATATATATATATATATATATACATATATATATATATATATATATATATATATATATATATATATATATATATATATATATATATATATATATATATATATATATATATATATATATATATATATATATATATATATATATATATATATATATATATATATATATATATATATATATATATATATATATATACTTATATGTATATATGAATGTAAAAGAAAGTTGAGTATATGAATGTAGAAGAAACTTGAAAAGCGAATTTAACAAAACCCAACTTTTGCCTGCTTGCAGATTACTATGGAGGAGATGAATATCTTGTTGTTGTTGTGGTTGCTCCGCAAGAAAGTTTGTTTGTATTTCACACGCTAAAGTATGGATGTTTTTTATGCATTTAACCTAGAGTATTCTTCTAGTTCAAAATCATTTTGCTTAATGTTGGTGCTTTACATTGAAAAAAATTCCTCTTTTATCGATAAAGGTAAGACAACTATTGAAATCATTAACTTTAACTGAACCATAAAGACATTTATTATGAACTTTTTTAATAAGTAGAACATACGCAGGAACAAATTTTTATGTACTTTATAATTAAATATGCATGTATATTAATTTATAGATGTTTTCTTTTTTTGTTTGTTTGTTTGAAACTATCATGAAATAACCAAAACAGCATAAATTAACACTAAAACGGTGTGAAATAATAGTAAAAAGGTGTGCAGTATTAAAAACACTAAAACGTTTAATTTAACACCAAAACGGTGTAAACTAACACAAAAAAGTGGGCAGCATGAAATACGCCAAAACAGTGTAATTTAACACCTTTTAATTAGAAGTATAGGAACTGATAGACCTTGTCGCAGTGGCAGTATCAATAGATACATCAACAATAAAAATGATAACTTATTCTTTCATTCTATAAAAGATAATAAATTACATTTTTTTTAATGTTGTTTATTAATATGGATTAATTTGACAACTCTTGAATCTTTCTTGCCTTGGTACATATAGATAAATTCTGTATTTGATGCAGAATAAAATTATATATTGTTCTGTAGTTAATTGCCTGTAATCAGTGCAAAATTCTTGTTTAGTTAAAAAGTGGAGTTAAAAGTATTTATAAAAAAATAAGAAGGTTCTTAATCCAGAAACTTTATGGTTAGTAATAAGTTCTTTTAGTTATATTAAACCATTCATGAAAGTATATTAATTGTATATTAATTTCAAACAGTTTAATAACTCATAATACTTGTTTACCTTTTTACGTTTAAAAATTTGTTGCATAGTAGACTAATCTCTAGTTATGTGTTCAGAGTAGAGCAGTATCTGTTGACAAATAGACAAATAATTGGATTAAATATTTAAGTAACTTTAATTAATACAATAATATTTCCCTTTATATTTATAATCACGCAATAAGATATTTCTAAATCTTCATTGTCTTTATTATAATTTTTCTCACCATCTATCCAGGCCCCCTCTATTTCAGGTAAACGGGGTAGGGGGAAGTTGTGAGAAGGGTGGAAGGAAAGGAGGTGTGGGCGAGTGAGGGGTATTAAAATAAGAAATTGAAACAATCTTTTTTTAAAAATATTATTAATAGAAAAACATAAACTTTATTTAAAAACTAATAATAAGACAAAGTAATATGTTATAAAACAATATAATCACTATACAAAAAATTGATATACAAAAAGATCATATACAAATATCAATATAAAATAAAACTATATATAAACATACTATACATACACCTACGAATGGGTGTATCTAGATACAATTATAAGGGTATCTACATACGCATATTAAAGTGTATGTATAGTAGTTTACAACAAGGTTCGTTCTTCTGCCTCTTCTGCTAGCAGGAGGCTAAAAGTTATAATGAGGAAAGTCTTTACTTCCATTCTTGGCCTATATAAGAAAGACCTAAATTGATTTAAGGCCAGGATGGCTTCGACACAAAATCACTCCATGACAAATCTATATTTTGTAAAAGCAAAACGCTTTTAAATAAGAAAACATAATATTAAAAAAAGAAGTACTTGGTAGAAAACTCTACAAAGTACTTCTTTTTTTTTAGCTAAAAAACAAAAATTCCTGTTTTGTATTATTTTTATTTAGTGTGATGCAAGAAAAAATAAATTTAAAATTTCAAAAAAGATATATCTACAAAGTTGCTCTCTTTAGCGAGCTAAAAGATATGTATTTTTATGAAACATTACAGCCTGTCACAGCTTTTTAATTGAAATCATTTTTAAAGGAAATTAAATAATTTATACAATTTTTCTCCTTTATCATCACTAAAACCTTTTTTAACTAATTCAGTATCTTTTCATCGTTAAAATTTAAGAAGTATTTAATTATAGCATTCATAGCTTTTGTTAATCCGAACTCTTTTTTTTGCTAAATAATGAACGAATATTTCAATAAACTTTATAGCAAAAATTTTTTAAAAATTTAAAGCAAATTTTTAATTCTAGAATATATATACTAAGTATATATATATATATATATATATATATATATATATATATAATATATATATATATATATATATATATATATATATATATATATATATATATTCTTTAAATATATATATATATATATATATATATATATATATATATATATATATATATATATATATATATATATATATATTTATTTATATATATATATATATATATATATATATATATATATATATATATATATATTTAAAGAATATATATATATATATATATATATATATATATATATATATATATATATATATATATATATATATATATATATATTAAGTATATGCATATATATATCTTATAATGCTGAGTTAGGTGAGCAATGTGACGTCATACTGAAATAGCCTGCTGTTGGGGGCTTCAGTACATACATCGACTGACAAATAGCCTGACTCGCAGTGGAATGCTACTACATAACCTAGGGGTTTTGGGATGGGGCAGCAACCTTTTTATTCTTTAATCTTTATTTTCTTCTTCTTTTTCTAAAAAACCCATATCGATTTAGATGAGCAAAAAAAGTGCGCACATAAATATGCTATTGCAGATAACTAACTCAGCAGTGTAAGATAAAATATTTAGATAAGGTTTGATAAAACATTAAAAAAAAAATTGCTAAGATAAAAAAAACTCAGTAACTATATATATTATCATTAATAGCTTCCTGATATGAATCGGTGAATGTTGAAAGGACGGAAGTCACATATTTTGCAAAATCAACTTTTTAGCAAATTTGTATATTCAAAAGATAGCTCCATCATTTTGTGTTAAAAAGGTGTCTGTCAAAAATTTTCTCAAGCCTGTACAGTGTCTAAAAGTTTTGTTTTTTTGTTAAAAGGGCTGAAGTGCCTTTTAGAAACTTTGCGCTGAAGACAGCGGACCAAACGTAACCTTACTTTGTTGTTTTGATTGTGCAACAGCGTGGTGAATAAAGTCGATTTATTACATTTAATGATTTTAATAGTGAATTAAGTTGATTAACTGCTTTTTTAAATGGGTGATAGTGGTAGTGAGTCTGATCATACAAATTATAAAAAAAATATAAGAAATCCAGATGATTATAAAAGGAACAAGATTAAGAAATCTAGGCTTACTGGTGTGGCATATGAAAATCATAAAAAATTGATGAAAAGTTGAGGACAAAAAGTTGATGCAAAGTCTATCGGAGATCCATGCAGGTAAGAGATAATACGCAATAATTCTTAATTTAATAATATGTCTATGCCAAATTGTAATAATTTGTCTAAAATTTAGTCAGATTTAGGCTCTGTAATTTATAGTTGGCCTATAGACCTAAGTTGTTGATTGCTTGTTTAGGTTTAAATTTGTTAAATATTTGTAGGCTTAAGACAATAGAACGACATTTTTAGGGTAACTTACAATCACTTAGCAAATTTTAACTTTCCTAGACTAGGCTACCTATAATTTTTTAGTAAAATTTTTTTTCAGTTGTTCAAGAAAGTGTTTTGAATCTATTGGCAAAGACAACCTCCATGATGTATTTATAAACTTCTACAGCCATTTTAATACAAAAGATGAGTATGATTTATTTTTACACGGTTCGATTGATGTTACAGATATTGTGAGGAAAAGGCCTGGTTCAAGAGATAGCAAGGGAAAAAGTCGTGATGCTAATGAAAATACTGTACGAAAAAGAAAAAGTAACGGCGGAAACAAGAAGGAATTTAAATATCATGTTTTGATCGGAGATAAACGAGTACAGGTAAGTGTTGTGGCATTTTAATCAATATTTTATGTGTCAGAAAAGAGGGTTCGAAGAATAAGGAGTTTAAAAATGAATGAAAAATAAGTTAAAGATTTGAGAGGAGTACATACGAGTTACATTACCAGTCACGATATACTAACTAAGGTATACGCTCACATAGACTCCTTTCCAAAAAAACTGATCCACTATGGCGGAAAAGAAAGGTATTTTTTGAGTGAAGATTTGAGCGTGAAATTAATGTATGAACTATTCATGAAAAAAAATTGAAGGAGTAAGGTTCAGTTACAAGTTCTATTATAACTACTACAATAAGCACTTTCATTTACGTTTCGGACAGCATCAAGTAGACACCTGTTACATATGCGAAAAGTTAAAGCTAAAGATAAAATCACCTCACCTTAATGAAGTTGCTAAGCAAACAGCAATAACTGAATTGGCAGTACATAACAGACGCGCAAAAAAATTTTACCAAGCCATAAATAAAGATGTACAGGACGCATAAAACAAGATGTACAGGACGCATTTTTTGCAAAACATTTCACTGCCCAAAATACCTGTGCAAGAGTTATTTTATCTAAGGCAGTTAACAGTTAGTGTATTTTCTATTCATGATGCAAAGAGAAATGTTGCAACTCTCTACCTTTATCACGAGGGGCAGGCTAGAAAGTCTCCAAATGAAACTTGCTCCTTTTTTTTGCACTACCTGTCTACCTGTCCTCAAGAGTATGATGAACTCAACTTTTATGCCGATAATAGTGGGGGGCAAAATAAAAACCATTGCTTTTCAAAATTTTTTATGGTGCTTACTGACAATAAGTCAATGAAAAAGATCAATGAATTTTTCCTAATCAGAGGGCACAGCTTTTTGCCCTGTGACCGTGACTTTTCGATTATAAAAAGAAAGTTAAGAAAGCATGACAGAGTTTACAGCGTCCAAGAAATAAAAAAAATTATATTAAAAAATAGTAATCAAAAAAAGTTTTTAGTGGTTGATGTAGAGAGTTCATCTCTAGTTTACGATGTTAAAAGTTGGTGGCCAGTCCATTTTAAAAGAAACGTTAACTCAATTAAAACAATGGGTAAACCCAGAAGCCAACAAACTCAGTTTACAAAAAGCAAATTTCACCATTTTCAATACGATTGTGACAACATATGTCAATGTAAGGCCAGTAAAATTATCAATGGCATAGTCAAACATACTTTTATGATTAGAATATGAGAAATACTCAAAACAAAGTGAACCTGCCAGAACAGCTTATTGACTTTTATAATGAACTAATACAATGGCCTACAGCAGAAAGCAACGATGGAGAAGCAGAAGATGCTGGGGAAAATGATTGAGCACAGCTGATAAAATTTCTGTGATAGACTTTTTTCCTTATAATTTTTGTTAATATTGTATAAACAATTCATCAATGTATAATATGAGAAGATTTATTGCAGTTTGTGACTTTATTTTCTATAGCCCAAAATTAAAATCATAATAAAATAAGCAGTAATAATTTGTTATATGTTAAAAGGGCTGAAGTCAACAGTGTTAATTTGTTTATAGGTTCCTTAAAAATAAATATGACAAAATATATTTCTGCATTTAAGATAAAAAACATTATCGCCTTCAAAAAAAAAGTTGTTAAACTATTAACAAAAATTTATTGAGGAAGCAGTGCTGTTTTTTTTAGTTTTCCGAAAGTTTACATTGTTGGACTTCCGCCCTTTTAACATTTACCGATTCATATATAATAAAATGATAAACTGAAACCTACTTGCTGCCTTGTTAACGGACATTATTTTTTCCTGTTATCTAATCTAAATTTAAACTTCTACATCAAATATTTCACTTGATTAGTTTTATATAATAAACAATTTAACTTGGCCAACTTTTACTAACATCTGCTACATAATGTGTGTGTGTGTGTGTGTGTGTGTGTGTGTGTGTGTGTGTGTGTGTAATAATATACTTTGTGTATGAGTGCGTTTAATATGTACAAATAGTAAGTGTGTGTGAGAGTGTGTAAAATAATCTTTCCTAAATTAAAATCCAAAATTTCCAAAATGCCAAGACATGAAAACGTTTACGAAATATTTATGTCAAAATTCCATGTTATAAAAAACATGATAAAGACAGTCTGCATCAAATTGGTACAAACTTCTATTCCTATAGTTTACCTAAGGATAGACACTATCAAATGATGTTTAAAATTATATTGTAAGAAAGGTACATGGTAATTAAACCAAAGTTTGATAAAAGCGCATTTAATAGCATTATTAAACATTTAATTAAAATAACTTTAACTCTTCCGAAACTTAATATAACTTATAACTATTTAACTCTACTGTTTAACAAACATCAACGGACTAAACGTGTCAGCATCGTGCCATTCATGGCAGTGTTTCCTTCCAACAATTCTATCAGACAAAACATCTTCTAAATCCAAAAACTGCTTGGTTGACAAATGCTTAAATGTATTCTTCATTTTATTAAGAGCTAGTTTGGACAGATCTTGCTCTAACTTTTTTATTCTTTTTTTCATCCATTTTTTGGCGCTTGGAATCTGTCATTTGGAACTTTAATTCTAGCATTTTGCTATCGATTTCTTATACTTTTTTTTACGCCATATGAATAGACCACTTCACTAAAACTGGATTAATTTTGCAAGCTTGAGCAGTTTACGAAGACATTTTTTACTACACATATACTAGCAGCATGATTAAAAATTACATGTTTTGCTGATACATAAAACATTTTTATCCACGGACTATGGAACGCCGAAGCTGCCTTAAGTGCGCTCAGTTTATTGTGCGATGTGCTCACTACATTACTTGCTGTACTTATTGCATTATACGATGTGGTGACTACATTATATGTTGCGCTCATTGCATTTTACGATGTGGTGATTACATTATACATTGCGCTAACTACATTATACGCTGCGTTAACTACATTATATGCAGTACTCACATCATATGCTGTGCTCACTAAATTATACGCTGTGCTTACTACATTGTATGATGTGCTCACTACATTATAAGATGTGCTACTACATTATATGTTGCGGTCATTACATTATATGATGTGATAATGCATTATATGAAGTGCTACTACAATATGTGTTATGCTCACTTTATTATATGATGCGTTCATTTCTTTATATGATGTGCTCACTGCATTATATGATGTGCTCACTACATAAAATATATATTTAACTGTTAAAACTGGCATCCTTTTTAGCAGATAATGATATAGTTGATGTTTTAACAAATATTGGTTGGCAAAATCTCATAAACAGATTTAAAACAGAAAGATTTAATATTTTGTCAGTTTTAGCTGCATCTGATGAGGAGCTTGGAGTTATCACTCTTGATGATAAAATCAGACATAAAGATTCTTGTAAAAACAAGCAGCAACAACAAGCAAGAAAATGTACCTTGTCATCGCCAGACGATGTAAATAAAAATTTCACTTTTTCATCAGCGTTATATCTCGGAAGATTTCAAGCAAGGGTATCTGAGAGAGATCGTTTGTTCAGGGAAAGAAGAGTAAGAGGGAGTAAAGGTATTTTAAAAAATTATTTAGTCAAAACTAGTTTGTAAAATTTGTAACTAGTTACTTTAGTTTAATAAAAGTTATTATTTAACAAATTCATTGAATTTTTTAATTGGCCACCACTGATGGTGTCTATTATTAACAATGGCAATAATGTATAATACCATAAATTGTATTGCTAACAATTTAAATAATCAAAAACAAGTAATGTGTTTTTTGATTTGTTAAGTTGTTAACTGTGACTTGTTTTTGATTAATCAAAATGTCTATCTGTCAAATTCTATTGGTAAATTTACTTATAACGTTTAAAAATTTAGCAGTTAATTTTTTTTAATGTTAAATTTCAAAAATCTACACTAAGAAAAATAACCTCTTTAAAAAAAATAAGAAGAAACTTTAACTATAAAACTTTTTTTTATCAGAATTTAAAAATTGTGTATAAAAGTTACATGCATTGTGTTATTGCAAGTTATTATAAATTCTTAGTTTTTATATTAACATCTAATTGTCAAATACTTATATAAGCTGAGCCCAGTATGAACTGCCAGAATATGAATCACCAAATGTGAATTTTTTTTTACCCATTTTGGAATCTAAATATAACAACATGAACGAGAGTGATCAATCTATTTCTATAATAAATTGTAATAAAAATGTAGATGTTTTAAAAGAAGATTTAGATACAAAGATAGAAAATATTATTCAATACTGTCATGAGAAAAGTATTTCACAAAATCCTGTTGAAATTTTGCGATATATGCAAAAAAAGTTGATGACTGGAAGGCCTCTTGAAATTACAGACCTTGCTGTTTGTCGAGATGGAGAGACATCTTTTGATCTTGTTGATCGTTCAAATATATTGACGACTGCGTTTGAAGAGTTAAAAATAAATTGATTACTCTGGAAGTACAATTTTATAACGAGGTAACTCTTATTGCATTAATTATATCATTAAAAATTATTTCATTTTTATAATAAAATAGTATGATTGCTTTTGATGATTTGTTCTTGACATAATAACTAGAACAACAATTTTAACGTTTGTTCATAAAACAAGGATGCTAAAGATTTTAGAGGTCCCAAGAAAGACTTCTAGCATTATTAATTATTCTAGCATTGTTAATTCGTTTATGTATCATGTGATGTATAAGTTATGCATGTGTAACATGCATTAAAATTTTTTATTAAACTAAAAATAATATTTAGATTTAATTCATAAATAATTTTTTCAACAAGTTTAGAATTAATTGCATGCATATAGACATTTGAATAAGATATATATCAGTTATATAGTTTGAATTTTATAAATATATAACATTTAAATATTTGGAATTGTTAAAAAAAGATGTTGTATAACTTTTTTGTATTATTTTTTCATTACAAGTTTTTCTATATTGCAGAATGGAAAACTTCCGAAATTTCTATGCAAAGTCACATTAGATGAGATTTTTTATGCCACTGCGCTGTAACCCTGCTATAATGAAATGCGATCTGTCTTTAAAGAGTTTGGAATATACCAAGTAAGAAACAGGCTATATTGACTTGTTTTGTTATAACAAGACAATCAGTAACATTGCTATATAATAGTACGATATTTTACATCCAATAATAAGATCCCATATGTTTTTATTGCATTAAAAGTTTTTTTTCTATACACATTTATTGCAGTTGTTTGATTTGGTTGATTGATTGCTCATTCTCTACCTGCCATATTGCAGCTTTTTAATTCATGTGATGTAGAAAAACTGACATTCAAGCGGTTGTCAACACTTTTAAAGCCATTATTTGCAAAAATTGGATCAAATGATTACATGTTTCAATCTAAATTCTAACAATCTAAATTTAACAAGTACATTCGAGAAGCTGTTGGTAAGTATTTTAATAAATGTTGGTTATTATATTAATATCAATTAGGTTATGCTGGTAAGTATATAAATATGATATATTATTAATATCAGTTTAAAACAGTTTCTTAATTATGTAATTCTAAAAAACTATTATATATTCATTGCGCAAATTACACTCCATTTATTTAAAAATATTTTTTAAAGGTGGTAGAAGAAATGGCGTTACTTTAGAAAGAGTGTTACAATTTGTGACTGGGGCAGCAGCAGAACCTGTGTTAGGATATGAATTCCATCCATCCATTTCATTTATTGGTGCTGAAAATAGTTGGATTGCAATATCAAACACATGTTCCAGTGTATTAAGTTTACAAAGGTCATCTATCGAAAATAATATACCATTAGAAGAAATATTATTTCGACTTTATGACTTAGTATTCAATAATGCCTTTTTTGGCATTTTGTAAAGTTTTGTCCAAAAAATTGTTAATGTTTTCTTTGATTTTTATTGTTAAGCTTTATAACTTTTAATTGTGTTTAAAAAATTAAACTTGTTATGTAGTTATCCTAGCAAAATTAAATTTTGAAAAGTAATTCAACTTTGTTATGTACGTTTTCAAATTGGTCGGCATTCAAAAAGTGGGGTTAATAGTTGGCCACCTTTAAACCTGGTCGTTCATAAGAATTTAAATATTCATGAAGAATTCCTTCCGTGTCGTAGTTTTTAAACTCGTTATTGTTAAGCTCAAGACTCATTAAACTAAGTTGTCCACTCTCGCAAAGTTTTAAGGGTGATGTCTTAATCGTTTGCATGCGATGATTAGTTCAAATGTGCCTCCATATATCAAGTTTAACGTAGAAAAACGTAGTAATCTTCTGAATTGGAAGGATCGAGTACAAATCTTACTGAATTGGAAGGATCGAGTATGTAACTATCTTCCATATAATAAAATAGTTCATTATAATAGCTTAATACACAAGAAAAAACGTCTCTCCACAATCTTTCTATTCTTTGATTATGAGTACTCTTACCGGTTAACATACTTCCTCTACATTCTCCACGATTCGCAATCATGTAATCTGCAATAAGTACATTTTCCATACCTTTGTCTGATCTGATTTTACTTGGCAGGCCAAAGTCATTAACACCTTTTAAAAAGCAATTAAATAAGGTGTTAGCCTTGCTGTTGGTTGAACACGCAGAGGCAACTGGCAAACGACTAAAACCATCTATAACTCCTGTTAATATAAAATACCAACGTACTAACTTATGATTCGTATCAACGTGCCATTGATGATTTAGCCCTTTTACATTGTAAATTCTGCGATGAAGACTGTTTTTCTTTCGCTCTTGGTTTCCTAAATTGTCTACTCTTAATATTGATTTTCGCAATACTGATCTTCGGACACTTATACCTTGACCTTTTAATATTTGGTTAAGCATTCTTTCTCCGCATTTTGGAAATTCGTTTGTTAATAATGCTACTCACAAATCAAGATCATCATTTGTAATAACAGAAAGATGATACGTTTTAAGATTGTAATTGTTCATTCGACGGTAAGTAGTTCCTCAGCAACATTTAGAAGCCTAGAAATGTCTTTAATTGTAAAATCTCCTTCTAAAAGTTTCTCTAACACATGACAAGGTATTTCTAACTTTAAAGGTCCTCCGCCTTTACTTGGATACTTATTAGGCATTTTCGTATTATAGATTGAACATTTAATTTTTAATTCCATTACTTTTTGTAACAAAGACAACTTTAAAATCAGATCAATAGTTATATTTTCCTGTTGAAAGTTTGTAATCAGATAAAAAAGTCTAAGATCTTGCATTACTCTCTTTAGCTGATAGTCTGCCATTTTTAAAAATTATACGTGTAATCTATAAAGTATCATAATTTTATAAAATAATGATCACATCATATAATGCTTTAGCACATCATATAGTGTAGTGCGCAAATTATATAATGTAGAAGCACATCGTATAATACTTTAGCATATCGTATAATAGAGTGAGCACATCATATAATGCAGTGAGCACATCAGATAAAGAAATGAGCGCATCATATAATTAAGTGAGCATAATACATAATGTAGTAGCACTTTATATAATGCATTATCATATCATATAATGTAATGACTGCAACATATAATGTAGTGCGCACATTATATAATGTAGTAGCACATCGTATAATGTAGTGAGCACATCATATAATGTAGTAAGCACAGCGTATAATGTAGTAGGCACAGCATATAATGTTGTGAGCACAGCATATAATGTAATCACCACATCGTATAATGCAATGAGCGCAACATATAATGTAGTCATCACATCGTATAATGCAATATACACAGCAAATAATGTAGTGAGCACATCGCATAATGAACTGAGCGCACTTAAGGCAGCTTTGGCTTTCCATAACGGACCAATAAGTTTTCCAAACACTGCAAGCATACACATTTCTTTTATGGCAGTTGTATTGCAAAGTAACACTCGTAAAACTGCTTATAATCTTTTACACTTTACTGTATTTATGGTAAGAAAATGTTTACTCATTATAATGCTTTATAAAAATGAAACGAGTATGAAAAAGTATATGAAGACGGTTCCACGATAACTTGGAACGATACCTCGTAATAGTTTGTTGTTGTCTATAAAATTTGAAAAATCTTTTGCGTCACCTTTAACATCCTTAAACCTTATTTTGTTCATAGCTATAACAATTTGGGTTGGCATGCATTTATTTTTAAATAATTGGCAAGTTTCATTTGCAAGAAACATTGCTTATTAAAAGATGGTTAACCGCAACTCTGTCTGATATCGTGTTAGATCTTTTTAAAATGATTGAGCTATTACACTCATAAAAGCTACACGAGTAAAAACCTAAACAAATGTCATATTACCAATGGCATGGCATATATGTTTTTCATAATTACCAGCTGTCTGTCCAGGCCATTTGATCCAGGGCAATGACATGACATTTATCTTTAGATGTCAAAAGAACGCTATTAATGTGAACACCTTCTTGTGTAAATAAAAAACAAACAACTATATTTTTTGTATTACTGGATGACTATAACTTAATTAGTAAATAATTTTTGATTTTGTCTTATAACATAAGTTATGCACATATTTACTAATGTCACAAATGTTATAATAAAAAACAAGTAATCCCCCCGGGTAAGTTTGGTGTTGGTTTTGCCGAAAATACATACCCTATCTAGAGCATCCTAGAAGGCTACTTGAGCATCTAAATTTTCGGATTAAACTTAGCATTTGGTGAGAAAATAGGTTTATAAACATAAACCTATTTTCTCACCATATCAATAAAATTATACAAATGTAATGTGCTTGTAAATGTAATTTAGATGCATTTAAATATAAATAATTCTGATGCTTTTCTAATTGCCTGTGTCATTTTTTTGTTTTACATAAATTTAATGGGTTTATAAGCAGTAGCAAGATTGTTGATAAAATCTTACAATATAATTGCAATATTATTGCAATATAATTGTAACTTTATTGCAATATTATTGCAACTAATATTAGGTAATCGATTTTATGATTGTAACTGAAGTTACAAGCATGCTTTCATTGGAGTATAACGACTTTATACTGTAGTGTTAGTGCGGCCAGACAGGTTTCCTCGGCGCACGTTAGACATCGCTTGCATGCGCCCAGTAAACCTGTCTGGCCACACAAGATACTCGTGGCAAAAATATCATAGTTATTAATAGGTAAAGACTCATAAAATTTTATTAATGGCGAATATATGTGCAATGAAACGAAATTTTTTAAATAGAAAGTACGAGAGAAGAACTTTACATTTTTACCAGTCTACTTCTTCTGAAGAGGAAATTACTAAAAGTAGTTCTCAGTCCGACTGTAGCAATACAGATGATAATGTTAATGATGGTAGTTTTACCCAAGAGATAAAAGAAATTGTATCTATAGTATCTGAGAAAGAAAATCAAATTCTAGTATCTGAGGAAGAATCGAGTGCTTCCATGCTTCAGTTCTTTAGTTCTAATCCATTTGAATGTTCTTTATTAAATTCAATTGTTAACAAAAAGTTTATGTTTCTAACCTTGTTGCATTTATTAAATACAACAAGGTTAAAAACATATTTCAGTAAATAAATTGCTGATCATTAAATACTATTTAATGATTAGCAATTCATTTAATGAAATTGCATTTGATAGATTTTTGAAGACTTTGCTGGTATGTTAGATGTAGTTTAAATTGTGCAATGTACTTGTAAATGAATATTGTCAATATTGTAAATGAATATTGTCAAAACAATTATCAATCAACTTAGTCCTTAGCAATAAATGTTAATCTGGCTATTTATCTCTGGCTGCTACCAGAAATGGTGCACATTGCCAATAATTCGTAAAAAAAGTCTGATAAAGTAACACAGAACGTTCCTAATTATAAAACATTTTACTTGTGAAAATTTTATCCGACTTTTTTTACAAATTTTATGTTATATAATATTTTACAATTATATATTATATATTTTATATCTATAGTTTTTACAAATTATTTTTTTACAAATTTTTAAATTATAAAAATTATGAAGTATGTCATATTTTTATTTCAACTTGAGGCTGGCGCCTGGCCCAGGCCTAGGTTGGTTGATAAAGCTTGAAAAACTATACTTTTGATTTTTAAATTTTTTTAATAGATTTTTTGCTGTATAAATGACATGCCGTCATCTCGTAAAATGATTCGTAGATTTGTTACAAAAATTATATTCTCCCATACTGAACCAACGCATAAATATTACTGTCATAATTGCTGCACAGCTTTAGTTGACACGTGTAAAATAAATACTCATTGTTCATCCCATATCTTTATATTGGATATCATTAGCCAAATAAAACTTGTTTTATTTCTGAATTTGGATGCAATTAAATCATATCAACTGGAAATTATGTCAGGTATTAGAAAGAGTGATTTTATTTCTAGACCAAATTTTGTTGAAAATATGAAGTCTGCAAAAGTTTTACATATTCATTTATTGATGTTAACAGATGGTGGAGAACCATACACACAAAAAAAGATTACAATGTAGCCATTTCATGCCATTATTTTAGATTTACCATCTTATAAACGATTCCTATTTAAAAATACGCTACTTTTTGGTTTATGGTTCTTGTTATTAAAACCTAATCGGAATGCTTATTTGAAGGTAATTAATTTATTAATTGATACTTTTTATTTTAAAAGTAGTTGTCAATCGAATTACCTATATCAGTAGAATTCTTGCACTGTTCCAGCCGTGACAAGAATAAATTAGGCAACGTTACTATATTACTAACTTTTTTTTAGGAGTACATCAATGGAAAAGTGTTTGAAACGCCCCTTGAAATTAACAATATCCAAGTAGTTATTCATATTGTTGGTTTTGTTTTCGATTTGCCTGCAGTGGCTTCAATCATCAATCATAAGCAGTATAATGATGAATTCGGATGTCACTATTGCGAACATCCTGGTAAAACAATTGAAAGAAAACATGGTTCAGCTAGAATTTATTCACATTCAGATACAAATTATAATCTTAAAACATCTGAAATGTATGCCATATATGCTAGATTAGCCGAAAAATCAAAAGTATCTGTATTTTGAATTAAAGGCTCAAACATCTTTAGTGAAATTTTATTTATTAAAGTGCCAGATATGATACTTATTGATGTGTTACATTTATTTTACGAAAATTTTAAAAAAAGCTTTTAGTTTATTTATTTTCTGTTACCAATAAACACGAATCATTTTTTATTGGTAGTATTATTGAACAAGAAGAATTGCAATTGTTAAATCCAGGCAGATTGTTGAAACATGGGATTGTTTACCATTCAAAAGGTTATGACAAACATAACTTTTTTGTCAAATTGGACATAATAAGTTTGGTATCATATTAGATTTTTCTTTAACTGACAATGTAAAACATGTTCAGTTACAAATTAAATGTGGAGTGTAAATTAGTTTCTACTTTTGGTGATATGATTAGAAATTTGGAAATTAACTTTGATGATGAATTATTTTTTATTGTTGAACTAACAAAAAACATTGTTGTTATTTCAGCTGACACTCTAGTTTGCAAATGTATGTTAATTAAAAGTAAATTACGTACAAAAGATGTATTAATTTTGACACTATTGAAAGAATTTTTTAAATATGCTTAGGGTGACTAAATGTAAATTTTGTAATTAATAAATATGCTTCACATCATGCATGTGTGTTTTTTTATACTAACAAACTTTTTTTTTATTCAATATTTTGATACTTTTTATAAAAATATCATGATAGTGTGGGGTTTAATTTTTAAATAGGTTTATATTTTATTAAATAATGACTTACCTTGATAGAAATAGAACAAAGAAATTGGATTTTGAAGACACTTAAAAGCTTTCTTCTACAATTGTTCTTTTATGGTACAAGAATTGTGAAAAAGACGAGCGGCATACCTCTCCCATATCACTTACAAGTACACTTTTTAAGCATTATTCAACAGTTGAATACCTTGAATTTCAAGTGGTAAGTGTTTAAAAAAAAAACTGACAGCATTTACCATATATAATATAATTAAAGTCCACCAATTAAATTTTAGCCCCCTACCTATTATTGACAAATAAGATAAATTTTTATTGTTTTTTTAAATAGCAGCTATTAGCTGAATATATCAGCTATTAGCTGAATATATAGAAGCCCACCCTAAAATAGAAGTATTTTAGATGCCCACTTTTTAAGAATGTTGAAAAATGGAACCCCTGCTTTTATTATACTATTTATAGTGTGTTGATAAATAAATTTAACGTTTTTTACTTATTAGAAAAATGTAGTGCATGTTTCTATTGCAAATATACAACACGCAGCTGTCATCATCTATAAGGGGTCTATTACCCAATGCTGTAAATTTGAAACATTGCTGGATAACTTTATGGACGATTTTGGTGATGACAATCCTTGCACTGATGAAGTAAGCAAGTTTGCTCTCAATTATATTGAAGGCAATACTGACGGAAAAAGAAAACATTCCGATGGAGACCAATCTTCAGGTAACTTATGTAATATAAATATGTGACAATGACAAGACAATATTATAAAAAATTTATTTAAAATTTACTCTTCTGTGCAGTGGTGAACTGGACCATGGTGCCGGAGTGCAATAGCACCCTGGGTCCAAAAAAGGAGGTTTTCTTTGTTACCATTGTTGATAAAAATGACACGAAATTCACACAAAAATTATCAACACAAGTTAAAATTGCACTATCCCATGGTAGGTGGGGATCCCTTGGATCCACTAGTAGCCTAGCCCCTAGTACACCCATGATTATATGTTTGTAACCAAAACTTGTTCATGTTTTTTTTTATAGATTCAGAGAATATTGCAACGGTCTCAGAACATGGCCTAAACGGACCTAAATACGAATCGTCTCCTAAATCAAAGGTGCTGAAAAAAAAAACATGTTAATAAAGTGTTGAATGAAAATTCAGGTAATTTTAATAATATTACAATTTTGTTTATGTAATTTCTTGAACATATTTTTATTGTCTTTTTCATTTATAGAATCAGACTCCTTTGCATCATTTTTTAACAGTCAAAAAGGATCTAAAAAAAGTGAAGCACAGATTATGGCTTTGGAAAAGCGAAAGCTTGACATGCTACTTGACAATGTTGATGCTCCCAGAGCATTGATGCTCCCAATGATTAATGATGTTCCTAAAACAAAACACTGTGGATCATCGAAGTTAAGCAAACTATCTTGTTTAGAAGGTTAGTTACGATTCTATAGTATAAATACTGCGTTTGCCTAAGTTCATATTGTACTTGTACATAGAAGTGCTATATATATTTTTAAACATTAGCAATTTTGATTGAACAAAAGAAACTTCTTTTTGAACAAAAGAAGACCAACAAACTGTTGTCTGAAATTTTGCGCCCAGTAGAAAAAGAATCTGTAAATACTGATAATGTAAGTCAATTTAATTTTTGTAATTTAATTGAAATAAGCTCATCCAATGAGAGCACAACTTGCTAGTATTTACTAAATTGAATAAAATAAATATTGATTGCTAATGGAAAGGCTGGTACATTTATATACAAATGGTTGCATAATTTGACCATGCATTGAAAAATGTTTACTAAATCCGAACTTATCTGTATTTTACTTTTTAGGCCGTGTATATTGGTTTTGATGCCGAATTTAAATTATACGACATTCAAAGACGAGAACCATGTAGCTTTGCAAGAAAATTTATTTTATTGCGATTCGGAAAAGAGTTTACTTGCACGCTTATTTGTGAACCAAACGGACCTACTGCACGCATTCATATGAAGAATGAAGAAATTCAGAAAGTTAAAGGTGCACTTGACAAAGTGTTAACGTCTTACAACTCGCGTGTTGTTTGGGCGAGTATTAATCAATTTTTCCGAGACAACAAAAATAGTACAAAAGTTTGAAGACTAAACAAATGAGCGACATTTTTCTTGTGCGTTCCTCGCTTATCCCTTATTCTAGCTGTTATGTGTTTTGTATGTTTTTTGTGTTAAATAAATACACCATCTAATTAATTCTAAATTTAGTTGTCTATTTAATTTTTTAAAGTTCGAATTTAGTATGAATTGAAAGTGTACATAAATGTTTCTTTCAAATATCAACTTTCAGCGCTGCTGCTAGACGATAATAAAATTGCAAAGAATTATACACGAAATGGTTTTAGTATTTCGATAGTTTTTATTTCATCCCTAGGTACTCTTGAGTCCTTGATAAACGCCCCCTCCCCCGTTTAATAAATTTAAGTTATTCTTCCGACCCATCCTAAGCTTATTTAGACCTTCCCCCGTTCCGTTTAATAGCTTTTACTTGTTATCAACAATAATTCATATATCCTAAAATAATAATTAAAAAGTCTAAAAATCGACCATAAAAATTAGGAAATAACTTTTGTGTCACCACTAAAAGCATAAACGTTCAGTGTATCAGGCTTTAAAATTGTTGAGAGTATATCTAGATTTGCCGAAAAAGAACTTGGTTTATTACTCCCCAAAATACAAGTGTATTAAATTCTTTTATTTATTTGTTATTTTAGGTGCCCTAAATCTTTACGGTCTTATCACAGAGCACCGCGGAGAATCATATACTAAGAAGCTCACGCTTTTTCAAGTAACGTGAGTTATTTGAAAAATGTAGATATTTTGTCTATAACTTGTTTATAAAAAAATTTTTTTTTTGAAAGCGTTCCTTTATTTAGTATATATAAACCCACAAGCAAAGATATATAAAGTAACACCCGTTGTTGTGGATTCATTGCTTGAATTATATGTTCATAAATTAGTGAAAGTGTGTTATTTTTTTTTTTACTATGATGATTATGTGTTATTGATTTTTACTTTCACTATATTATTGTTAAGTATTCTTATTTCTTTATCTTTATTTCTGTATTTGTTTATATTTCTTTGTTATTGCTGTGTTTAAAATGCTTTGTCTTGTCTTGTTGTGTACATATACTATATCACCTTAAACTTTGGATCGAGTGTTTCTAAAGGAAACAAAAATTATTTTAAAATGACGTCACTCTGTCATATTGTCACCCGCGTAGTTTTTATTGTCAATATTGCGAGATTATTTCCCAATATAATTGCAATTTTATTGTCAATAATGCGAGATTAATGCCCAAGATATTGGCCAATATTATTACAATTTTATTGTCAATATTGCAATATTATTGTCCAATATATTGCCAATCCGTTGCAAGTTATTGGCAATATTGGCCAATAAAATTGCAATATTATTGCAATTTAAAAAAAAAAAAAAATGTTGATTAGTGGATTTAGAACCTATTAATAAATCCCCAGTTGGCATGCGTCGTCCAGGGGACGTCCATTGGACGTCTTACGGACGTCTGGACGTCCAGCAGACGTCCTCCGGACAACGCTTGCCCACTGGGTCAGAAGAAAATCCATAGAAATCGGTAGTTGTGTGAACGTTTTTGTATCGTCTTTAGCTAGAGGAAGAGGCGATCCTGCTAATCTTACTGGTGTTATTTTAGAAATTAAAGATGGGAAATATAAAGTTGACACAAAAGGTGGTATAATTGATATTTGGCAGGAAAGAAACAGCTTTAAAATTGTTTCATTTATAAGGTTTAAATTTTAAAATAAACTTTTTTGTGTGGAATTCTTTTTGTCGTTCAAGAAGTTCATGTGACAACTATTGATAATATTTCTCCTTTTTAAAATGATTTATAGAAAGAACTTTTTTTTTTTGAGATTTTTTTTTGTTTGTTGTTGATTTTTGTTACAAGATTATATTTGTTTTATTCATTTGTTTATTTTTTAAATACATATTTAAAAACAATTAGAAACACTGGTTATTAAACAATGAGATAATGAGATTCAGTTGAAAATTATAAGAAATTAAAAAATATATAGATTTTAGAAAATAGACTTAAACAAAAGCCATTTTAGGTTCAAATATTTTAATTCATTATTATGTTTTAATTTTACCTGTCTGAGAGAAGGCCAAGTTTTACATGAAAATGTTGCCAAAATGTTTCAATTTTAAAAGACTTGAGTTCTGTTAGGGAAAAAACGCGTAGATACTTGAGCCTATAAATAAACATCAGAAATATGTGCCTAATGAGGCATTCAAGATAACCTAAAACTGTGTTGACCTTGAGTATGACATAAAGAGATTATTTGGTCTCTACTACGTAAAAAAAATCCAACTTTTCAGGAATAGATGCAGTGGCGTAACTTCAAAGTATGCTTCCTTTTCCGCAAGAATTTTAAATAGACCTTTACAAATTAAAATTACCTTGATATTTGGTCCCTTTTTGCATAGTTTCTTCACTGAATAGTAGTATCCCCATATTTATAACTAAGAGCAATTTTTTTTTATGTGAAAATATCTTTAAATAAAGTCATTGTTACTGAGTTCGTGTTTAGTCAGTGTTCTCCGTTTCAAAAATCTTAAAATAAAAGTGTATCTGGAAAGTTAGAATCAAGCAAACAAACAATACTATTTCATTAATTACAAGAGAGTTTGTAAAAAAATATATCGCACAGATTGTGTAATGCGCACTTTTATACTTGCGCATTTTATGTAATGTGCAAATGATTGCACGTTTTCTGAAATAAGCAAGGCTATCATCCAATTCGCGGAATGAGCAAAAATTTGCCCATTTCATGAATTGCGTAAGTTCACGATTTATGCGAGCAGACGCGCTTATACCACAAGGACAACATTTTATTAAACTTTCAAAAATCTACCAAATTTAATTTTGCTAAACTGAAAAATGGCCAAGAATATAAAAATTTTGAATTTCAGATATGGAAACTAAATAAAAGGAATTACAACAACTAATGTAGTGACGAGAAAATTAAACACGTTATTATGTGGACTTACAACAAAAGTATCTTTAACATAGTCGACAATTAAGTGACATTATGAAAATTTAATTTTCTTTATTTAATATGAGAATTAGACACAAAAAACAGGTCACAAATCCTATTTATGTCAAACAAGTTAGCTCTATTTGTTTGACATTTCTTAAAGCAAATTTTCCGCAACAAACTCTCAACAAAATCTTTTAAGTTGTTTTTCACACCAGTTTTAGCAAATTATTAAACTATTTCAGCTATTAATTGTACTAAATATTAGTAAAATACTTAATGGGATTGAATCTAGGTCCATAATAACCAAGTTGTTTTTTAACCTAAAACAATCATATTATTCAACTTAGGCTTTATAAATTATATATATATATATATATATATATATATATATATATATATATATATATATATATATATATATATATATATATATATATATATTGCATCCTAGTTAGCGACTTTCAGGGACATGTTATTTTTGTTCCCGTTCTGTTGTTTTTTTTTTTTCCTTTTTTTTTGTACGATTTTTATCACATTTATATATATTTTTTAGTTTTTATTTTCTTTCTATTTTTATTTATACATATTTAAATTTATCACTTTTTTATAAAAATAATTTTTTGGTATTAAGTTTTGTTGTTTTTATTTATTTATTTTATATTTTATTTCATTTTTAACTTAATCTATTTATAAAAACGTTTAATTACAATAATACAACCAAATTTAAACCTTGCCGTAACCTTAACCCAAAGCCTGAACTTAATGCCTGGCCAAACCAAACCCTCAGTCGATGTAGTAGCACTACCTCGAGAGTCAAGCTATTTGTTAGTCGATGTATGTACTTTTCGTTCTCTACAGAAGTTTCTTATGGGTACAAAAAAAATTATGCTTACGGGGAAAAAAATAAACAAGTGCACTAAAATGACACTGGTAATGCTATTGTCCACGTAAGCATTCCTTTTTTTATAAAATCTGTCCCCGTAAGTGCTAAACTATACAAATATATATATATATATATATATATATATA